ATAAATAACCATGGCCTAAGAGCTGGCTGAGAGGATGGACTCTACAAGATGCCTGACGTCACCTCAAAGAAAAGGTACATCTCATTCTGTCTTTTCTTATCTAACACGGCCTGTTTTTAATTTTAATGTTTAACCTATGCAGAATTTATTCTGAAGTATGGTGTGAGGTAGGGAATAGAATTTAAATTTGTTCCTTGGTAGAAGGGTTGTTCCATTATATCCACATTGTTCTAGAAGGACATGAAGTTCTTTTATTTTCCTCTTAGCAAATCTCATACATGTATACAATGTATCTTAATCACACCCATCCCCCAACTTACAGACACCTGACCCCAACACACATCCCTCCCAACTTCATGGTTTTTTTTATAACTCATCTTAAAAGTATATTAACATTTCAATATGCTGAGTTTGCTTCATCTTTCTCCTGTTACTTTCTTTGTGGATCTTATACTATTTTGATTATTTTAGCTTTAGGGTGCATTTGCATATGTACAGAGCAAATATTCCTTCAGCCATCATCCCTCTTTCTGGAGATTTACAAGTAGCTTATTTTTGTAGAGGAACTTAGGGATATTACTATGTGTGTAGTTCTCTTTGAACTTTGTCAGAGTGGTGTTTTCAACCCTCCTAATGATGTGACCTGAATGACAGTTCCTCGTGTTATGGTGACCCCCAACCATAAAATTATTTTTGTTGCTACATCATAACTGTAATTTTGCTACTGTTATGAATCGTAATGTAAATATCTGTGTTTTCAGATGGCCTTAGTTGACCCTTGTGAAAGGGTCATTTGACCTCAAGGGGTCTCGACCCATGTCTTGGAAACCACTGATCTAGGAAAAAGGTCCAGTGCTTGGACCTTCTTCTGCTAGGCAGCAAATTTCTCTTTAATGGATGGCCATAAGACATAGAATTAAAAGATACCGAGGCACAGGTGGTGGACTCCACTGGCTGCTGTCAGTCTTTACATCCCACCACAGCTGCCTCTGACAGGAGGGAAGCATGGTTATTCTGCAGACCACAAGCAAAGCTTAGAGAGCTTCCCTTCTAAGCCTTTACACACCAGTATTGGGAAAAGGACTCAAACACCATTTTGTATCCATAAGCTCTTTAGAACCAACTCTGGAATCTGGATTTCAGAAGGGAATCCCGGGTCCTGATGTGTTTAAAACAATTTTAATAGAGGCTCGAGGAAGACTTTTCTATGAGTAAAAAGTAGGGGAGTATAGGGACAAAATCCAATAAGGAGTTTGCAGTGAGGGTCTTTAAATAGCCTGGTGTCTGAGTCCATTTTCAGTTGCTATAACAGAATACCTGGGACTGGGAAGTTTATGAAGGGAAAGAGTTTATGGAGGTCACTATTCCAGAAGTTGGCAGTCAAAGGTCAGGCAGAAGAGTCTAATGAGGGCCTCAGGTCATTATAACAAGGTACAAACATTGGGGCGGGGCGGGGGCAAGGTGGCACACGCAGAAGAGAGAAGACACAAGGGCCAGCCTCACTGCCCCTCCGCCTGTCCTCGTGAGCATGAGCGCATTTCCGCGAGAAAGGAACTAATCTTTCCACGCAGCTACCTTCACATTGCTGCACCTAAATGCCCCACAGAGATGGCTGAAAGGGGGAAGGCTTATCTGGACTCGCCCATTCAGGGCTCTCAATCCATCGTGCTAGGGAAATCAAGGCAGCCCAGGCGACGGTGGCAGGGGCCTGTGGTGGGATAAGCAGCTCACACTGTGGTTCACCAGGAAGCAGAGAATGCATCTGAACCAAGGACCAATCATAAACCATTTCGTCCAACTAGGCCCCACCTCCTAAAGGTTCCCTGAGCCTGTTGGGGGCATTTCACATTGACAATCTAACCACCTCTTAAAGGCCCCACCATTAACTGCTGCCATGATGGCAGTCAAATCCCCATCTAATGGGGCAAGCAAGATGGCTTTGTGGGTAAAGGTGCTTGCCACCAAGCCTGACGACCTGAGTTCAATTCCTGGGACCCACATAGTGGAAGGAGAGAACCGATTACCTGGTGTTGTCCTCTGACCTCCACAACACGTTCTGGCAGGTACACCCACACCCACTCACATGCACCCACACCCACACAGCCACCTGCCACACAAAATGGATAATAAAAACTTTTTAAAATATCCAACCCGAGTTTTGGAGGGGACAAATCATATTCAAGGTCATATCCCTGAGACACACAGCTGGCCGTCCCTGCCAAACCCTGCCTTCTCATTGTTAACCCTCCTCGGACCTGCTGGTGGCTGGTGTTCCCATACATTTTCCTGCCCTCCCTGGCCTGGCCTAACCCCCTCCCTCTGAGGCTAGTGGCTGGGTCTCAAGTTATACCTGAATCTACCCTCTGTTCTATTCATATCCTTCCCAGCCTGGGCCATCTGAGCTCTGTAAAAGCACCCTGGGAACAAAACTATGCAAATGGAAAGACCTGGCTTTTGGGGGTAAGATCCCCACCCCCTGCAGCTCCCCTAAGATGCTCTTCCTTCTGGTAAATCTTCATTATTAGGAAGACAGAGATGGTTGTTTGTTTCCTGGCATGAAGAAGAAAACAGAACTGAATGTGTCTCCATGGTGCCAAGGAGTGCACAGCTCACCTTATCTGACCTTCACCAGAGCCTTGGAGCTCTTACAGAAAAGGAAACCAAGGTTATTGAGTTTACAGAACTTACACTGAATCATGCAGAAGGTTAATGGTGCAGCAAGACAAATACTCAGGTCCATAGACACGATACTAATATCTTCTGTGTGCTGGGCACCAGGCTCTGGGTGCATAGCTATGTACCTACCCATTGGCTGGGGTTTGAGCAGATCTGATCTAAAGACCCCTCTTTTCCTCCCAACCTCTCTCCACTGCAGACACAATGTGCATAGATTTTGGAGGCTCATCTATGGGGCTGGGAGTGCTTGGAAACACATCGGAGAGGCGAGGATGCAGGCAGCCCAAGATGGAGTCTTCTGCTATCTGCTGGACCGGGTGGGTGAGCATCCTTTGCTCCTTTCTTTCTTTTCCCCTTGGCTCAAGGAAGGACAGCTTGGGTTTTGCAAAGACAGGCAGAGGACTTTTGACAGCCTGCAGGCTGCTTTTCCCCCATTCAGATGCATCAAACTCGCAGAACATCTCTCCCCAGCTGCAGGCTTGTGGAATAGGAAAACTACTCATTTCCCTCCGAGAGAGAGGCGCCCAAAGCAGATATTTCAATATATTCCAATTTAGCCGAGGGAAGCCAGAACATGGATGTTGTTGCCAAGGAAACCACCTCCTTCCTCCCAGTGTGCTGTGCATACGTGTATCACTCCATCTCTTGGCTCTCCAAGGTAATATCATAGCCCCGTGCTTGGGGGAGGGTTTTTAAAAAGGAATATAAAACCTCTTAGCATCGAGAAGATTCATTAAATGACCTCACTCCAGAGAAGCTTAAATTATTCTTTTTAGACCCTTTTATGCTGAAGACAGGCAAATGGCTGAGTCAGTCCTATCTCTTGTAGCCCAGCTCAGTGTCTGGGCGGAAAGGATTTTGCAGAAATAAACAAATCAGCATTGGGAAGTGCAGACAGGGGAGTGTGTGTGTGTAATAATAAGGAGGCCATCCTGTAGCTCCAATGTCACTGGCTAATTCCTGTGAGTGGATCTGCCAAGACCACCTTGATCCACAGCCCTCCTGCGTGGGAGGCCACACTTCACGGAGCAAGCCTCAAAGCTGAGACAAGAGAAGGTCGCTGTTGCAAGGCCACTTGTCAAAGGTCCAGGAATTGCACGGGGATTTCTGTTGTCCAATCTGCTGAGCCTTAGGCTTTTTTTTGTTCCCAGCTGGTGTCAGGTCTGAGTCCCCCTTCTCATTCCTGCCTGCCCTGAGGCCGAGTGTTAATCTCTCTCTCTCTCTCTCTCTCTCTCTCTCTCTCTCTCTCTCTCTCTCTCTCTCTCTCACACACACACACACACACACACACACACACACACACACACACACACGCACGCACGCACGCACGCACCCAGGCCAACCCAGCACCATTCTTACTTCACATCACAGAACTCTCAAGTTGCTCTTCTGGTGCTGGGGCATACCCCGTCCATTGGACACACAGATAAATATTGGGATCCTTCTCTCAATTAGTGGTATAAGCTGAGGATTGTGTTTTACATGTTATGGGATCTCCCCTGAGGACAATTTTGGTTTTGATATCATAGAAGAAGGACAGTCACATCTAATGGGCCTGAGAGACCCAGATGCTGCTACTCAGGACACCCCTACAGCTAGTATTAATCATCCCCAAACCCAGTAGGGCCAAGACCGACAGACGTTGGCTCCTCCCTATCTACTTTGTTCACTCATTTAAAAAAAAAAAGATTTATTTTATTTTACCTCTATGTGTGTGGGCCTGGTTGCATAGATATGTACCATGTGCATGCAAGTGTCTGCAGAGATCAGAGGAGGGTGTTTGACCTCCGAACCTGGAGTTATAGGAGGCTGTGAGCCACTGATGTCTGGGCTGGGACCTGAACCTGGCTCCTCTGTAAAAGCAGCAAGTACTCTCAACAGCTCATCCTTCTCTCTAGCCCCGTTTCTTTTTATATGACCACTTCTTTTGAATAAATATTTATTGTCTAATTACTATGCACCGGCCTGTAAGCCCAGGTCTAGAGACATACACTAAACAAGATGGATGTAATATTTCCATTATATCATTAGAGCTCATAATTAGGGCTGGGACAGTCATCTGTTTTGGACCTGCTGGCCCAGTTCTGAGGTCCTCCTAGCACTCACTGTGACTCATTCTACTGCTTCCTGGGTAGAGTGAGGGCCTTTTGCAACCACCCATCTAAATCTGACTGCAGGACTTGGTGTGGTCCTCCCCCCCCCACTCACCACCCCCCCCCACCCCCCCACCCCCCGCCACCCGCATGGCTTCCTCCCTGCATAAGCGGCAGGCTCTCTTAGTGTAAGCTTTACTGCAGCAGCAAGTATGCTGAGACAAGAAAAACACTCTGAGATGGGACGAAGACCAGGACTCTGTCATCTTCCAAGTCTCCAACCCCCGCCTTGCCTCTTCTGGGGGGACCCTGGGACCACACTCTCATGGCATGATTGCTTTATAGGTGGGCCTTGCCAACCCTCATCTCCCAGATGCCTGCTTCCAGCCGCTTCTCTGATAGCATATCTCCGTGAAGTCAGGGTTTAGACTTTTAAACCAGATCTTTAAACCAGTGCATATTTACTGTGGCCTTGGCCAAATTACTTCACTTTTCTGAGCTTCAAGTGCCTCTTCTATAACGTGGGCCTAGTAATAATTTTACCTGTCTTGCATGGTTGTTGTGAGATTGAAGGTGCTGTTTCACGTGGAGTTCTTGGTTCACAGGAAGTCCCCTGGGAGGCACGCTGTCATTGCTTCTGTTATTGTTTCCTGTCGGCCCAGTAGACACAAACAGAGCAGCATCTTCGCCCCTCTCCGTCTCTCACAGGCCATCTGTTTGCCTCCGTTTGAACTCAGCCATGCCAAAGGTGACATGAACCTTCTCGCCGAGAAGCCACTGGTGTTGGCTGGCACGCTGAAAGTTTTCACAGGTAGAAGGAAGAGTACAAGACCATGGACACAGGCTGTGTGACAGAAATACACCTGTTACAGGTCACTGCCACCTGGACTCACAGCTGCCTTTATCTGGCAGTGTCCTGCATCACCTGACCTTCATCGAGAGGTCCGGGTGAGGTAGACAGCTGCCCTTCCTGCCATTCTGCCACTGTGGAGGGAAACTGGGCCTTGGCCCTGGTTCCCGGGCCACTGCGAACATGCACTGGGTGAGATTCTGGGCTCAGAATGATACTGGTGTGTACAGAAGCAGACAGGTGTGGGGAAGGGAAGTCGCTTTGTGTGAACAGGTGCATTAGTTACTTTCCTGATTGTCGCGACCCGATACCTGAGAAAGGCAACTTAAGGAAGGAAGGGTTTGCTTTGGCCCGCGGTTCTAGGGAACGTAGTCCATCCGAGTCGGGGAAGGTGGAGCAGTATGAGCTGGTGTCGGGTGTCATTGCATCCAGAGTCCAGAATCAGAGAGCAATGAATGAATGCTGGTGTTTGGCTTGATCTCTGTTCTATACAGGATCCCAGCCCAGGTCACGGCGCTGCCGAGGTGGAGATGACCCTTCCCAGCTCAGTTAAATTAATCTAGATCATCCCTCATAGGCATGGCCACAAGATTTCCCCCTAGATGAGTCTGGATCCTGTCGGTTTGACAGTAATGGCCATCACAGCAAGCTGAGAGGCTGGTTTGTATCACCTCATGTCACCCTCCAATCACACAGGGGGAGGTGCAGGGGCCATCTCCGGGTGAGAAAGCTAACTCTCTAGTTTGAGAGCCATTGAGTCCCCTGCTCATAGTGTCCCAGCTGGAATATGACAGTCCAGGATTGGCAGGTGTGGTCTGTCTGCCTTTCCAGCTCATACTGTGATCTCGTATTTTGTCTTCCTGGGCTGGCTGCTATAACAAATTGCCTTGGGCTTGGTGGCCAATGTAGGGCAGGTACTTATTTCTTACTGTTCTCAAGGCTTAAAGTCCAATACCAAGATGTCGTCAGAGTTGGTGTCTGATGGAGGCCCACTTGCTGCCTCGAAGATGGTGCCTGCTTGGCATGACCTCATATGAAGAGCCGAGGGATCTCCCCAGCATCTTTTTCACAGGACCCTAATGCTGTTTGAGATGGCTCTACCCTTATAGCGCATTCATCCCTTACCCAGAGGCCCCTTCACCCGGCAGCATCACTTATGGATTAGAATCCCAGTGCATGGTTTTGAGAAGGCTGTCAGCACTGCCTCCATAACATACGTGTTGTTGTTTATGACCCACTGCATGACCTGCACTGTATGAGGCACTGCCACCATGGGCTCCCTATCTGGCTATCTTAGGTGATCAGAGTCAGCAGAGGTGCTCTGCCAGCTACAAGTCACCTACAGTTTCTCTCCAGATAGGCTGTGGATGGCCTGGCCATCTGTTGTAGGGGCTCTGGGCCCTCCACTGCCTTGGACTCAGAGACCCTGCAGCTTTATGCCTGGGAGACACCCTCGGAGGCAGTGACACATGCCAGGACCCAGGGCTCACACTGATAGTCCCATCTTATCCTTTCCTTCCCCTACCCACCGGCTAGTCTCACTGTCCCTCCCCCTGCCCCCCCCCCCACATATACCCCATTCCAATCCTCGGCTTTTGTACCTTATGATGTGGGGACCTGGGCGAGTAAAGTCATTAAAGTCATTATTCCTTGCGCAGAAATGTCATTCATGTTATTCATATTTAACATTCCCCCAGCTTGATCTTTTTTGATGCTTTTAAATGCCTAGTATGACATTCTGCACACACACACACACACACACACACACACACACACACACACACACACACACAGGGGGGGGTGTCTTTACTCCTGGCAGCAAAAGGAGACTCCTTGTCACCTATTTGTTAATTTATAAAATAATTCTTATATTTTGGGGATTGATTCTGGCTGCTGCCGGCTGAATGCGATTGTGGGGATTGGAGAATTGGGTGACACTGGGACAGGAGGAGGTATGACAAAGTTCTGGGTTCATGTTCCAACAGTCACTTGTCACTTCTGGCCCAGGTGTCCCTCTGTAAAATGGCCAGCTCCACACCACGGGGCCTGGTAAGTCCTTGTATTTTATATTACTTGGGTTTTTGCAGGGAGAGCGTTGTAAAGAACTGCTTTAAACTCTAATATACTTCAGGGGGGATGTTGGGGAGGAGATAAGCCAGCGACAGAGAGGGATGTTCTCAGGGCAGCGTGGAAGCCCCAGGCATCCTGAGAGCAGGCGCTCTTTAGCCCTTTGTGAAGGGGAAGATGTCAGAATAGCTGTCAGTCCTTCTCTTCTCACTTCCAGATCCAGATGCCTGGGACAGACTGCTGCCAATCAGGAGTCTTTTTAAAATCTCCACTCAGATTGAAATCATGGGTGGGCAAGGCGAAGGACTGGTCTTCAGCAGATGGGAAAGTAAGTGATGGATGCATCAGCTGGTGGTGGCCTCTATTGCCACAGACCTTTGGTATTGGGCCCCACAGCCCCACAAGTGTTGCAGCTCTGCTGTGGGCTGAGGAAGCTGTGATTTTCTAGCCTTTAGTCCTGGCTAACATCTAGGCAGGCCTAGATACCAGAATTCCTCAGCCTTTAGCTGCAGCCAGTGCTAGTACTCATGTGTGCATCCTGGACATTGGCATCACTAAGCCTTTCCTTATCCAGGCCAGTGTTACAGCTCTCGGCCCCAAGTCTGAGACCTGGGGCCCTGAAGCCTTGACGGCTCTCTGGAAGGCTTCTGGTACTCAGGGCCTCTTCCTCTGCTCTGCACTGTTGTTTATCCCTCAGCCTTAGTTCTCTGCCTTCTCTCGGCATCTCTCTGCTTTCCATTGCCCTTCTTCTTCCTGCCCTGGTCCCATAAGAACCACTCAACTGCTTCTCCCCTCTGGCTCTTTTTGCGGCCTGGGCTGCCCACAGCTCACCCATCAATGCTACCGCTCCTCTACTGCTGCCTTCTCTGTGTTACCAGCCAGCACTCACTACTGAAAACAGGCAAGGAAAGACCACTCTGGAAAAGCCCAATGCTGTGACACCAGCAGCCCAGGGAAGAGTCCAACAGCTGCTAACTAGGGAGGCAGACTGGCCCATACCAGGGAGGCAGACTGGCCCATACCATCACCGTGAGCCCTCGCAGCATGCTTATGTGGTTCCAGACCAATCACAGCCATTTGTTTGTCTTTTTTGCACCATTCAGTTATTGAGACTTATATTGTGCACCAATCACAGCCTCACCTCTTAGCACCAATCATAGTGGCCCCTCTGCTAGGTGACCAAGGCACATGCTTCCTCTCTGGCCTTTCCAGAAATGATTGCAGGATCATCCAGAGTTCATGGAGGCTTGCCATACTTAAGTTTGGTACAAACTATTTCAAACAGTCCTGGCTGAGGCTGTACCTTCAGGAGCAGCAATAATCAATTACAATCTTTGCTTAGTTGTCTCAGCGCATCCATGGAGTGTTTAAAATGGCTAGTGCTGGCTTAGGAGTGGTCCAGTTAGCTGTTTGACTGGCAGGATATTTTTTTCTTCTTCTCAGAGCAGCCAGGTGAGCAAGGCAACAAGGGAGACTCCAGCAGCTGCTGACTAGAGAGTCAAACTGGCCCATCTCCCCAAGTCTTTGCTTATTTGCAGGATAATGAACACCAGGAACGCTTATAAATATAAATAAGACCTTGTTATTAACACTAATTGTGATTTTAAAAAAGTGTGTGTGTGTGTGTGTGTGTGTGTGTGTCTGTGTGTGTCTGTGTCTGTGTGTTCATTTGTGCATGGATGCACTTAGAGGAGTTTAAGTCAAGTCCAATCCAGGTATCCTGCAGCAGACATTGCAGGGAAGCCACCATGGAGGAGCTGTGGCAGTGGAAGGTATGGAGCAATATGGGAGAACACAGATGCAGGGTACAGAGAACGTGACGTTACCGAATAGGGCTGGCCCTCGGCCCATGAGCTGGCCTGCAGCACAGAGCCCCAGTGGCGGCAGCCCACACTGCTTGCCATGCTGGGAGGAGAGCTTGGAGTAGCATCACTGCCTGGAGGCTGCAAGCACAAGGGCCAAGCCCCATGAGCCTGGATGCAGCCGTCACCGAGGGCCAGGAGATGTGCAGCCACACGGAGCTCTCACGGATCCTGTCCCTGGATGCCCTCCTTAGCTGAAAGGTCAGCCTGACTCTGGGCAACAGCAGGATATCCATGATGAGTCTTGGTGATGGTCCAGCATTTATGGCGACTCAGAAACCAAAAACCTTGAACCAGACCAATGACTCAGGGCAATGAGTCATTGTACATAAAATACATAAAGTTGTTTAGGCAAAAAATACACTGTGGGACACACTGCCGTTTGCAATGCCACATCGATGAAAAAGTATGTGATGGGGAGGTAGGAAAAATGGAGGAATGTAGCGGCTCATGCGCAGTGGGAAGAGGTGGAACTGGAGACACCATGGTGGTGACAAGTGTGGCAGAAGGCTTTGGGGTGTGTGTGTGGGGGGGAACGTTGTTGCTGAGTAGGGCCAGCAGGATGGTGTGCAGCAGCCTAGAAGCTTGTATAGGCTCTGTCCCCAAACACGCTACCCAGCTGCATGATCACCCTGGCTCTGAGCAACGAGAGGATGTCCTTGAGATGGAGAATGGTTCATTTTCTGGATTGGGCCTCTTCAAAAGACCTCCAGGGTCCATGCCACCCCAGAGACTGTCTTGATATCAATTATCCGTGTTATAACTGGGGGACATGCTGGTGTCTGTCCATGGTCCATGCTGCCATCCCTGGCTGTGCTGATGCCCAAGGTTCATGTGGCTGTCTATGGTCTGTGGTGTCACTAGAGGCCACATCAATGTTTATGGCCCATGCTACCACTGGAGGCAGGGTGGATGTCTGTGGTCTGTGCTACTGCTGGAAGTCATGTTGATGTCAGTGATCAGTGTCTCCACTGTTGGCCATGTTGATATATATGGCCTGAGCTGCCTCCTGAGGCCATGTTGAGGTCTGTAGTCTGTGTTGCTGCCAAGGGCCATGCTGGTATCTGTGGTCCTGCTGCTGCCTGGGTCATGTGGATGTCCATGGTCCGTGTTACTGCAGAAGACCATGCTGATGTCCATCCATGGTCTGTGCTGCCACCTGAAGCCATGCTGATGTCCGTGGGCTGTGTGGCCTCCTAAGCCATGTTGATATCTGTGGCCTGTGCTGCTGCTGGAGGCCATGATGGTATCTCTGATCCACGATGCAGCTGAGGACCGTGTCGATGTTTGTGGTCTATACTGCCACTGGAGGCCATATTGAGGTCCACGGTACTTGCTGCTGCCAGAGGCTGTGTGGATGCTTGTGGTCTGTGCTCCTGCAGGAGGCCATGTTGATATCTGTGGTCTGCACTGCCACAGGAGACCATGCTGAAGTCCATGGAAGGCTTCCGTGACAACCTCTCTCCCCCATAATGCCCCCACCACACACAAAAAGAAACAGTCTAGACGGGAAGCTATTGAAGAGAACTCTTAAAAATTGTGATAGGGACCCTGAAGTGTAGCTCTTCACAGCTGATGGCTTCTGGTGGGGGTGGGGTAGGGAAGGACTCCATTTACTTTAAAGGGCTGGCCACTGGGAGTTTGACCATGCTCCAGTGAGTATATGGGCAATACAAATCGGAATGTTGTTGTGTGTTTTTGTTTTCTCTGTTCTGATTTTTCTTTGGGGGAGGTCACAAGGGTGGAGTGGTGGACATGGGGAAACTGGGAAGTGAATGTGATCGGGGTGCATTATGTGAAACTCTCGAATAATCAATAAAAATACTATGTTGTAAAAATCATAAAAGAAAAAAGGAAATCAACTCCAGATATCTTGGTATCTTCCTTTTTCTCCACTTTTTTTTTTTTTTTTTTTTTTAAACAGTGTCATTCACTGAACCTACAGAGCTCACTGATTCATATAGTGTGGCTAGCTAATGAGCTCCAGGAATCAGAAGTCCCCATCGCCCCAGTTCTGGGGTTACACATACACACCTTATGCCTGGATTTCACATGGGTGCTGGGAATGTGACCTCTGTTTCTCAGGCTTGTGTAGCCTGTGCCTCAGACACTTTACCACCTGAGACATCTTCCCAGGCCTTAATTGTTCTTTTTAAAAAGGACTTTAACAATGGTTTAACAGTGATCAACAGTTTCCTAGTGCCCCAGGGAGAGGTGGGTCTCCTTTAACTAGCTCAAGATATGTGTCGGGTTCAGTTTGGGTCACAAGCCCAAGGAAAAAGCTGAGTTTTTTGATTGACAGTTGTACTACAATTGCCTCCAGGGAGGAAGGGGGTTCTTCAAAGTAAGGCTATTTCGAGGAACAAATTTCTTAGTAGGTGAACCATTTGGTGCCTTCCGTACCTTTCAGACAATGGGAGCCTGTGATACCCCAGACAAAGGACAAGAGGCAGAAGTAAAGCCTTTGGGTTCTTAATCTTTCCCCAGCAGGCACAAGTCTGGGCCTCTGAAGTTGCCTACTCCCCCCAGGGGAACCAAACTCTTTCTGGAAAATACGATAGCATAAATGTTTGGGGCTTTGTGAGCCATATGAATCACAATACTATGAAAGCATCCATGGAGAGAATCTAAGAGAGTAGGTGTGGCTATATTCCAACAAAGCTTTATTTACAACAAAAGGAACAGCAGGCTAGATTGGACTTGTAGTCATGGTGTGCTAGCTCTGATCCCTTCCAAATGTATCTATCTATGGGCCCCTGAGACAGTGGTTGCCCTGCTTGGCAACTGCGCCAGACTCTTCCAGGATCAATGGAGGATACAGATGCCCAGAACCCACTGTGAACTTGAGTTAATGTTTACAGGTAGGCTTGGGCATGTGTATTTTTTAACAATTGCCTTCTGGGTTCTGAATTACATAGTGTTATGAGTGAAGAATCAGCCATGGACTGCTGTTGAGGGTCATGTCTAGGTCCATGGCCCGACTGCAGCCAAGGTCTGTGTTAATGTCCATGGCTCCTGATACCATTGAAGGCCATGTCAATGCCAGGGGTCTGGGCTGCTACCTGGGAACCTGTTGGTGTCCAAGGGCCATGCTGTCACTAGGGCCATGCTGATGTGAGTGGCCTGTGCTGCCACCTGGGGTTGTGGTGACATCCAGATCCAGCCTGCTACTGAGAATCATGTCTGGGGCCAGGGTCCTACCACAGCAGGGTCTGTGTTGATGTTGGTGGTCCATGGTAACACCAAAGACCACACAGATGCCCAGTGTCTAAGCCACATCCTGTGGCCATGTTGGCCTTTAATCCAAGAAAGCAAGCCTTTAATCCCAGGGAGTGGTGGTAGAAAGCAGAAAGGTATATAAGGCGTGAGGACCAGAAACTAGAAGCATTTGGCTGGTTAAGCATTTGGCTGGTTAAGCATTTGGCTGGTTAAGCATTTGGCTGGTTAAGCATTTGGCTGGTTAAGCTTTTAGGTTTTGAGCAGCACAGTTCAGCTGAGAGCCATTCAGATATGAGGACACAGAGGCTTCCAGTCTAAGGAAACAAGATCAGCTGGGAATCGGCAAGGTGAGATAGCTGTGGCTTGTTCTGCATCTGATCTACCAGCATTCACCCCAATAACTAGCTGTAGGTTTGATTTTTTTTTTTTTTGGATTTTCGAGACAGGGTTTCTCTGTGTAGCTTTGCGCCTTTCCTGGAGCTCACTTGGTAGCCCAGGTTGGCCTCGAACTCATAGAGATCCACCTGGCTCTGCCTCCCGAGTGCTGGGATTAAAGGCGTGCGCCACCACCGCCCGGCTGTAGGTTTGATTTTTATTAATAAGAACTTTTTAAGATTCGTGCTACACATGGGATGCAGATATAGTCGATGAAGAGTGGTAATCTTGGGAGCCGTGTGGGGCTAGGGATGGAATTGTGTTTGCAGGGCAGCTGTCCTGGAGGAGCCCAAGGTGGCTCTGGACATGAAGTCTGGTTGCTTGTCTCGGCCACCCTGGATTTTCCTCGCTGTTCTTCTCTTCCCCTGGGTTCTGCTATCAACCAGCCAGGAGGGGAGTTGATTAAAAATCCAGGTGTGAAATCTGAGCTGCTCGCTTCTCCGGCAGGAGGCAGGCAGGCCTCCGACGGTTTTCCGTGCTGCCATTCTGCAAGAGTACTGCCTACGACCTGGTTTCTTTTCTCCGCTGTCCTCGGAGTCTCCCCTTCACTCTGAAAGCCCTTTCTCCTTCCTTCAGACCTGCTTATTACAGACCCTTCCTCTCACTTCCCGGTGACATCCAGGCTCTGCCAAGCCTAGTGCCTTCTGCGGTGATTCTTAATAGGATCAAGATCCTGGGATGCCTCTCTGCCATTTCTCCTCTCTTTCTGAATGTTCTTTTCTCACAAACACCCCCTAAAACCTGTAAGGTGTCTTCTCCTGAGTGATACAGCCTGTTGCTATGAACGAAGATGTCCGGTCATACACAGAATGTGCTCTTAGCATGACTCTGGCCCAGAGCCTCTGACCCTCTCTGCTGCCCACCTTGGGCCCAGGCACTTGCTGTACTAGGAGGCATCTGTCACCTAACCAGTATTCAACTTTCCTTTTGGCAACAGTGTGCCTTTATTCATGGGAATCCACTCCATCCCCACTCTGAGTCCATGTGGACCAGGCAGGGTAGCTTCAAGGTAGACATGTGACCCCTGCCTGGCAAATCAGCGCATCTCTTCCAACCATACTGACTGACTCAGGGATGGGTAGGCAAAGTTAGTTCAATGCTGGCTGGGGCTTCTTGGAGGACAGAACTCTTCATACATGGGGTTGGGATGCTATCAGCTTTGGGCTGCTAGAACCCACCAGTACAGGGAATAGGAGGGTAAGGCTCAGAGATTGGTTCTGAGAGGGAGAGAGAGAAATCAGGCCCAGTGGGATTCAGTGGGACTTGAAGCCAGATCAACTTGTGGACTGTCTCTCCGTCTTTCTTTTGTAGCACTTTAAACAGATGAATCAGAAAGCCTTCAGCAGCCAGTCCAGCTTTATTCGCACCCAGAACAGCACAACATAGTAAATCTCAGCAGGGTGAATCCCAGGCTTGAGGGGGCCGTAAAACTTGGCCAGAACCGGTGCTGGCCATACCCTGAGTTTCAGCTATTTAGACCACATGGAAATCAACTCTGGTTTCATTTCTGTTGCTGTGAGAACACAACACCCTGACTAAAAAGCAACTTTACCAGAGTGGAGGTTGGTTTGCCTTACAATTCCAGGTTACAGTCTATCACGGAGAGAAGTCAAGATAGGAACTTATGCAGCTACACCACATCCGGTCAAGAACAGAGAGAAACAAATGCGGCCATACTGTCTACTTGCTTGCTATCAGCTGGCTTTCTTCACTCTTATGTAATTCATGGCCTAGCCTAGGGAATGGTGCCACCCTCAGCGGACTGGGCCAGTTAACAGTCAAGACAACCCCCAATAGGCCAACAAGGCACGCCCATGGGCTAACCAGGTCTAGAGAATGCCTCATTAAGACGTTCTTCCCAGGTGACTCTAGGTTGTGTCAAGTTAACAGTTAAAACAAACTATCACACACACAAAAAAAAACTATCACAAAATCATATGCAAATTTATTTTGTTTCCTTTTTGTGATACTGGATGACTAGTCCAGGGCCTTGCCTATAGGAGACAGGCACTCTGCCACTGAGCTATAACATTAGCCCTGGCTTTTATTTTTATTTGTGTTTCACAAAAAAAGCAAGCACATAGCATGGTCCTCAGTAATCCTGCTGGTTGTGGGGACATCTTAGCCTTAGCTTAGCCTCCTCTCTCATTACTGGTCACCTGAATACTTTCCTTCCATCCTAGGGTCAAGTCTCACTCCACCTATCCAGTTTTGAAGCTGGGAGCCTTCTTCCTCACTCTCTTCAATGAGACTTGATATTTCCAGCCCCGCTCAGACCTGCTCAGTGTAGCTCTCAGCCTCACCTCAGATCTGAGCTACTCTTGATTTCCTTGCCTGTAGGATGAAGGTGAGGTGTGCTCTCACCTATAAAAATAGCCTCAAGGGTTTGGATGTCCGGGAAGCAGGGGACTGTGAATAGTCCACCGAGACATTAACTCATAAGAAGAAGAAAATCAAAGGCACAAAGCTGTCTTCAGGAGACAATGACCAAGAGACTGAGAAGCTGCTTCAGGTCCATCAATGGGTCACTGGTACCTTGTCAGCCAGAAGAACAGAGTGTGGCCCAGAGTCCTTGATGGCTGCACAGAATCTCATCTATTTTTGTGTGCCTCAGAAGGACACCCAAGAGCCAGATGCCCTTGGTCCCTCTAGTAACACTCTGAAGCGTTGGTTTCCTGTCTGTTGACAGTCACAGGGAAAGAAAGCTCTAGTGACATGACAGAACGACCTGCAGATGAGTGAGGTGGCCTTGGGTTTTGTTTATCCACCTTGTGAGCGCTGAGTGAGCATTCAGGAGCTCTCAGAACTGGACACTGATGACTCTACATTTCTGGTTTGTAGAGCTTTCTTAGCCTTGACCGAGGCTTCTCAAGGTTGGCGGCGTATCCATGCAGCCTTCACAA